TGGATTTAATATATAAAATACTCAAGTTCCTAATCTAATTTTAATAATATCCTTAAAAAACATTCATAGCTGCCAGCTGAGCTGTTGGATGTGGAAAGGAAACAAGAGCCATCTTTAAAGGTTGCAGTGACCATAAAATAAAAAGTCAGAATCATGTTAAACATGCTAATCAAGAAATACAGACTGCATTGCATTTGCACAAGTTCAGCAAGTAACTTTCTGGCAGCATTCTACGCTGTCTACCTGAACATATCAGTACAAAACTGAACATATCAGTACAAAACTGAACATATCAGTACAAAACTGAACATATCAGTTTCAAAAGATAAAGCTATCAAAAAATCATTAATCTAGCTTGCATTGTGTATAGCCTTCTTCATGCCTGCAAGCTAAAACTAGTGCAGTTCTATGTGTTTTGTGTCAGATTCACAAACTACTCCAAAGTAGGATTTTAAAACAGACAAATTCAAGGCCCATGTTCCACACCCCATGCAGCACACATGTGGGTGCTAGGGCTGGGTAAAACCTGATACTGGCTGATGATGCCATATTCAAATATCAATAGAAGCTGTAAAACTGAAGGGTTTTGTTAGATTAACTGCTTCATTTGGCTGACATAATAGTTCACAGATTTCTTGCTATTTTTCAAAAGTCACGTCTGCTTCTAACAAGGATTTCAAAATATGATTTTAGAATTAGTTAAAATAATCAGCAGGATGTTTATGAACAGCTTGTCTTCTCTGAAATGTGTATGCTGTTGTGAAGACTTTCTTGCTCAAATCTAAATTTGATCCTGGCTACTCATGTCCCTAAAGAAATTTAAATATGGATAGTCACGTGAACACAGATAATCTTATCACTTCCTCATTTACAGAACTGGTAATACTCTGCTCATAACAAGAATGATTGAAAATTAAAATTAAATTATTAACATATTTTATAACAGTAACAGTAATAATATTATTATTATTGATAATAATAATAATAATAAAAGTTCATAAACTAATAAGTGACCACTTTTTTCCTGAAGCAGCAGATACTTTTTTAAAATCTAAATGGAAGAGACTTGACTCTGCTACTGGCACAGGAGATAACTCTTAGTTTCTGCAGAAGAAATAACTCTGCAGGGTGGAGAAATGGTCTGAAGTGAAAAAGAAGAGGCCTAAAGTTTTTACTTCCCTTTATCTTTCAGTTGCATTTTATTTCACTGCACTGAAGTGTTATTATATACACTGTAGAGCCAGGAAGCGTGAAGGATGTTCTCTAAAAATCTCCCCACGAGTTAATAGCATTCCTTCACTCCAAATGGCCTGTTTCCACAGAGACAATATTTAATAGTATTTGGAGCTTCACTTACATATAAAAAATTGTTCAGATGATTTGATCACTGTTCTTGAAATCTCAATGTTTTATTCTGCATTTTTTAACCTAGAGACAAGTTGACATTAACACAGCATTCCATTTTTCTGAATGCATTCTCATGCTCTCTTGTTGACCAAACAGTAGACATAACAAGGAGCCTTTGCATACCAATCTGCCATAGAAAAAGCAGACCAAATATTCTGATATCTTCACAAAAACAGATGTTCTCTAGTATTTCTCCTCATACTAAGTTAATTATCTTCTTTAGTTATATAAAAATATTTATCTGTCTAATGACGAATAATATAAAGCTGAGGGTACCAGAAAATATTCTAAAATACATATTCAAGTCTTCTTTTTTGAGACTAGATAGGTAATCAGTTCCTGTTAGGTAATAAGATGCATGTTGGCTAGCAGCAAAACAATAATAAAGAATTACCAAGAAAAAATTCTTACCCTTTCCTGGCTTAACTATTGACATGCATTTAATGAATGCTGTTTACTTGCCAGAAAATTAAACAAATAATGGGCATTGCTTTAGCAAATCACTAGCTGGCTCAAGTGCTTTTCATGAATTAATCTTTCTTTTTATGAATGTAAGATAGAAAAAAAAGGGAAATCTTTCAACCAATAATGACGTCTGTGAACTCCTTCTGTGTGTTCTGTGCAGTGTAGAAATGCAAGTGACTAAAGCGAGGGACAGTGTTGCCATGCAGCTCAGCCAAACAACCCACTAAAAAGGCATGCTGACCCACTTTCAACTACCAGCTACTGCTGACCCTTTGTTGAGTGAGAGGTTCTTCCAAGTTTTTAGTTTTTTTTCACCCTTTCCGCTCTTACTTTTAAAGCAGCGAGCCTGTCTCTCTTTTTATCCTACTTTTTTTCTTTCTTCCCCAGCATGCGTGGAAGAAAGGAAGATTGTTTCTTGCGACTGCCTTTGCTGTAGTTAATTTAGAAAGAAATCTTTCACCCCTTCCCTTGTTAAGAGCATGTTCTGGAAGAAATACGGATCTTGCCATCAAAAAAATTATGATACAATTCCTTAAGGAACTCAGTCTGATCAGAGTAATTCATCTACGAAAGACCATACTTTAATTGTTACTCTTGGCAATAGTGAAGGATAATAGTGTAATATTATACTAAATATTGCCACGTGCAATAGTAAAAAATTGTTCCAGCCTTGCCAGCAGCGGTGTGCAAACCCTCTTTTGAGTTCAGGTTTGGATGTTGAGATTTAATCTAAATCTTTTGCTTCTCCTTCTTCCAAAACCAACAGAGGTTTAAAGAGAGCTGGATTTTTATTGGAACCATTTGCTCAGCCTAAGTTGCCAAAATAATTTAGTTAAAACTAGTGCTTTTATTTGGGTTAAAGTTGATTCCTGAGCTCTACAGAGGTTGAAGCTCTTAGTTTGTCTTCCTCTTTTTCAATTCCACCAGAATCTACTGCAGAACTCTGCCAGGTCAAGTTGTACTTCCTGTGTCCAGTCACCCAGTTGAGCTTATCTGTATGTTCCTGATTTTGCAAAAGAGGAGAAGAAAACTTTCTCAGCCCTTTTCCTCACTGTTTATCCATTGCAACACATAGAAAAAAATGTGTGGCTCTGGTGGTGTAAGAGTGCAAATCCTGCTGCCCATGCTGCTACTGCTGGTGTATTAGTGTGACTTATCCTTTGCTAATGAGTGACAGCTGCTCTGAAATGCCTTACACGGTGTTTGGCTCTGTTGAGCAACAATTGGAAAAACATAAAAATACAGAATTTTGGAAGTGAGCTGGGAGAAAAAACACTTAGTTTTATGCTACTTGAAAAGCATTGTTTGAATTTCAGATAGTTCCAACAAAATGATAATACAGTCACAATCTTCTGCCAAAACTTTTTAAATCCTGAGATATGTTTCACAATAACAAAAACTTTAATGTTATTGCAATTCAAGAGGTACAAATTCTTACTGTATTTGTTTTATTTCGTGTGGGCACATGCTTGTTGTAAATGGGACAAAAGCAGTCTCTTGAATGTTAGAACCTTCAGATGGTGAGGGGGTAGGAGTCAACTATTTGTTTCTAAATCTATTCTCTGTATTTAGTCTGATTTGGATCCAACAGTGAAAGGCTATGATTTTATTTATTCATTTATTTGTTCATTTATTTCTACATTTTGGTTGGTATCATTCAGTTGCAGAAGAAGTATCATGGGTTGGAATGATATATTAAAGATGTTCTATTGTAGCAGTGCCTTGGTCTGGAATAGATTACTACCAGGCTTCAGAAAGCAGTGTAAAGATCTGATGGTTCTTGTTCATTACTTTGTTCTCCCAGGAGATCTTAGCACAAAATAGTTCCAATCTCAAGACTTAAACTCATCTTAAAAGAAGTACTTCAGTACTGAGCAGAATTCTTATGTGAAGAGAAAGAGAAATAAGCCATTCTGTTGTTTTGTTTTTGTTATTGTTTTTCTTAAAGCAATCCAGACTGAATTTAGTGAATGAAAGTCAGAAACTAGCCCTTGCTGAATATAGCATTGGATGGACTCAAGGTCCAGTTTTAATCTATCTTATTTACCTCTTTTAGTGGTGCAAATGATTCCCTCCGCTTACATTATAAAAGAATAAAAAATAAAACAGACAAAAAAGACATAACTATGATACAGAATTACTAGACTGTACAGAAGTTCTGAAAACTCTGGGACAACCTAGAAATCCAACTGTATCCTGGTTGGTCCGCACCAAAAGAAGTGTGGCCAGCAGGTCAATCAGAGGTTGATTCTTCACCTCTGCACTTTTGAGACCCCATCTGCTGTGATCATCTCTGGAACTCCCAGTATAAGAAGGATGTGCACCTGGAAGATCAGTTCCAGAGAAGGGGCATAAATATGATCGAAGGGCTGGAGTACCTTTTCTGTGAAAAGAGTCTGCAAGAGCTGTATTTGACTTAAGCAAGAAATTCTTCACTATGAGGACTGTTACATACTGATTGCCCAGAGAAGTTGAGGATTTCTGTCATCTCGGAGATCTTCAAGATTAGGTTGGATGGGGCCTTGGGCAATGTAATCTAGTGGAAGGTTAGAACTAGTGACTGGCACTGTAAGGTGCCTTCTAACCCAAATCATTCTATGATTCTATGACTGTACAACTGAAGACCATGATTTCTTTCCCATTAAACGTAATAATAGCTTCACATTTTATTTTATCCTAAATCAGACGGAAATTTTATATATAAATATAAAAGAAACATAAAAATATTGTTCTGTAATTTTAAATGAAAATTGACAACAATCGAGAATGAGACCATGGTCAGCCTTCAGTAACTGCTGTATCTTCAACTCCAGGTTATTTTATCAGAATACTCGCTACATGAGGGAGATTTAAAAGCACTAGATTTACTAAGTTTTCTGCCAACAATGTGCCAAATAGGGCTATAAAGGCCTAACAGGATCCGGACAATGCATTTTGTAGCTGCCACTTTTGATTTTAGTGATTCTAAGAGCTTGTCTTTATGGAAGACAGGGCCCTTAAGTATGAGCTTGGAAAGTCTCCAAACTATGTACAACACAGGGCCATACAAATTACCTGAGACTGTTTCTTCTTCATAAATGTGAAAATACAACATTATCTCTAACAGAAAGAAGAAAGGAAGCTCTCACCCTTATAACCAGCTGCATTGGTTTTCCAGTCATTAGCATTCAGATGTCCAGCACGAGAAGTCCTGACAATAATGTGTTGTATGTCTCTCCATGTCAGAAATGGACTAGAAAGAAAGGAGAAACATGAAGTCATAGATTAGATATATTTTATTAGAACGGAGAGATACAAGGTTATGTATGCTAAAAACATATTCAAGTTAAAAGCAACACAACTCTCATTTCTATTCCCTTCTCTACTTTGCTCACCTCAAAACATCATGACCTCACCTTACAGAATTTCGACATGATATAATTTACACAGCTAGGAGATTTGCATTAAGGAGACTTTAAAAACGTGTAATACTCCACTGTATAAATTTTAGTGTTTGCTAAGGGGAGATGAAGAAGTGCTTTTCATCCAGACCTAATTCATATGGCCACAAACAACTATATGTTGCTATCTGCTTTGACCAGTGTAAAGGAAAAAAGAAAACAAAATGTTGGCTCACTGAAAAGCTGTAATAAATCGTAATAACACTGTGCTAAAGCTGACAATCCCTTCCAACTTGCAGTTCCCACTGAAGCCATCGGTACTGGAAGTTACAGGTGTTCTGTTGTTTTTCATCTGTTTGGTATTCCTGGTCTTGGAATTCAGAGGGGCTCCATAAGTATTCTTCAAAGAACACCAAACAAACAGCACAATCTCTTTATAATTATAGAGCAAGTGTGTGAGGAGTGAGGAGTATTTCTTTAACAGATTTCTGATAATCTGTCCTCTGCAACAGTGAAGCAGACTGCTTCAGATTGCTTGCATCCTCACTATGAAATTAATACTTGTCTACTTTGTAGGAATGGCAGACGACTATAGGCAGTGTTTGTCTAGATCCATCTCAAGGAAATTTGTTTTCTTAGGTGATCACATCAAACTATGACGGTGCTATTTTTAGTTTTTTTTCTTCTAATTTCTCAGTTTTTCTATCATTCATAATCATAATAAGAGTATGCAATTTAAAACTGCAGTTTAGTAGAGGAAAGGACAAAGTCACTTCACTAAATAATGAAGAGAAAAACATCAGACAAGAATCACAAGGGTTGTTGTCATAGTATCATTATTGAATGACACAAATCAATCCAGGTGTAATGATGAAGATAAACCACAACAATGTTAATGAGACCCAGCACTGCCTGTCTATAATGTCCAGTACTAGGCAATCACTGAAAATCTGGTAAACCTCAGTTCCTTAACACACCTTCTGTATTCCTTGAACCAAGATTTCTCTTGGGCTGGCAGACAGGTGACTTATTCCAAAATAAAGAACAAAAACAGGAACAAAATAATTTTAAATAATCTGAAGAAAGAAGATGATTTTAAGATCCTGCTGATTGCAGGGTTTTTTTTTTTTTTTTTTTTTTTTTTTTTGTAGTTTCTTCAAGATTGTACCATTTCATCATGATTTCATTTTTCCTCACTGTTGTTTTTTGTTGTTTTTTTTTTTTTGTTTTCTTTTCATACAAGATACAAGGGTTTTCCAGTGAAGCTAATGCATTCTGGCCATTAGCATTTATTAAAGCATTACTGTGCTCATACATGCAGTTTTTCTCTTTTAGTAGGATTTCTCATACAAGACAGTTGGACTAGAATGGCCATAGTTGTTTATTCAGCTGAACTGGTAAAAATGAATGCAAAAAAAATTGTCAGGGAATGTTACAAGCATTCAGGGTTTGTAAGATAGGGTATGCTTGGACAGTCACGTAACATGCTTCAAGAAAAAAAGTCTATATGACTTTATACTAGCTCAGGAATTTCACTAGGAGCCTGTGTAAAGTCTTAGAAAAACATATTTCAGGCCTTCAGGAAGACCTCCAGGAATCCCATGAGCTGCATTCTTTATAATCTGGAATCTAAACAATCTTCCATGAAGCAAACTGTCCATGCTACTGGTGGAAAATAAGGCACTGAAACACTTCTCTCATCTTTAAGATGAGATATTCAAGACAAGGCAGACTCAACTGATTATTTAAAGAGGAATGGTGGCACTGGTGGGCTCCATCTACCTTCAGACAAAGGATTTGAGGCTTTGCCTTGAGGATATGGGCCTCCCATAAACTGGGCTTTATTGCTGAATCAGAAAATGAGACTCTCAAAATTAGGATTTGCTTTTAAGAACAAAAATAATAGCATATTGCAAAAACTGAGCTACTAACTGTTGTATCTACCATCTTTATCTAAATGCAATAATTAATGTAACAGTCTGTGGCAGAAAACTCCTTTTACCAAAGTTCCAATTTCCAGGATACAGGTATACCACGAAATCAGTCAGTCTTTTATATAGTTTTCTTTTAAGTTTGCTAACTGTAGCAGTCAAAATGTTTTATGTTTTCTTCTCAATCAATGACAGATCGGGCATATTTATATCAAAGAGATTTAACAGCATCAGAACAGTGTTCAAATCAATTTCTGTAGCCAACTATAGGACCTTCATAATACTAAAAATTGAGTTATTAACAGTTTGAAATTTTCTTTCTACAATAGACACCCCATTTGAAAAAAAAAGAGGTCTGCCATTGTTTGCCCATACATATTTATTTTTCAGAAACTTCAGAAAAAAGGAAGAAAGAAATTGGAATGATGTCAAAATCACAGTTCATTTGGAGAAAGAAGGACTTTTTTCCTTTTGTTTTTTAGACAAAACAGCCTAGAGATCAATTTTAAAGCATCTGGAAAAATCACAGACTTGGTTAAATATTTGTAAAACATGTAAAAATTTGAAATTAAGTGAGTAAACAGTTGCTTGCAAGCCACTTGGGCCTTAGATCTAGACAAGATGTCACTAATGTTAACTGATTTACCACTTGATTTATCTCACAAAAATTAAAGATTAAACATCTTGAAATGAACAAATACATGAACAAGAACAGTACTTAATCTGCTTGATAATGGATTGATTTCCAAAAACAAACAATTTCCATCCAGATAAAAAAAAAATCATGACTTATTTGAAATTGCCTTGGGATTACGCATACCAGACAATACTCAAAATCAAACCAGAATAAGCAGAAGTGAGAACAATTACATACAAAGTGCTTGTCCAGCAGCCAAAAAATAAATGTTGTGACCTTAATTGACTACTTATACTCTAAGGTACGGTGCTCTTCTTTCAGGTTTCTCAAAATCTTTATGAAACAAATGAGAAAAACATGAAAGAGGACAAGTATATTAAATTGTATTACAGGAATATTCACTTGAGATTTAACTGTATCTTTAAACAAGAACAAATATCATTACTGAAGCTGCTTAGAAATAGTAGGTCATCATTTTTGGATAAATTTGATTTCTTTATTCCACAAGTAGTCTCCCTAGTGACAACTGGACTAATCTTGAAAAAAAAATAAAATATTCAGTCTCTATTCTTTTGCATAATAACAGTGCCAAAAATAACAATTCAGAATAAGTAAGTGGTGCAAATGGACAATTAGTAAAAAAATATAACTCAAAATAATGATCATACACATGGGGTGCAGTTTGCCTTTTTAGAAAAATGTTATGGTTACCAAAATGAATAATGACTGCTGCATTATTTTAATAAAGAGCAATTTCAATTTGACAAAGGTGGCCTATGCAAAAAGGTATTTCTTGTCAAAAGAGCAAAGGCTTATGCAAATTGCTGGAAGAATACTTTTACTTCCCCAAAGAATCATGGAAAAAACACAGTATCATAGGATGCATTAAGATCATATTTCATTTTATAGTATCAAACAATCTGCTTTGGAAATCTTGGCTATGATAGAACTGACACAGATAATTACTGCTATGAAATATCTAAAAAGGACTCCCTGTCCTAGACATCTTGTAGAGCTGTAGGAGATAATTTTTTTCATGGATATTTGCATAATGCCAGCCTTAAGGATGTTATGATAAATCTATAAACAAAACGTAGTAGTTGCTTAATTTATTCACATGTTGCCATTACTTACAAATCAGCCAAAGTGTCCCATGATACCTACAACCCTATTACCTGTCCTAATGATTCCTGCTTTCCCCATGGACAGGAATATTAGGTATAGTAATGGGAGTCATTTCTCTTTTCCAGGTCACACAAAGAGTCAATGTGAAGACATCTCTTGCAACGCAGAACTTTAACATAGGTGAGAAATGAAGACAGCTCCTAAATGTGACATTTACCCTATGCTTACATGTCTATATGATGTACACAATAGCCATTTAATTCATAAAAACCTGGAGGTTAAAAAATGGAGCTCAGTATTTAACATCTGAGTCACGCATATATATGGACACACAAAGTATGCACTTTGGACATATCTGACACTCTTATGAGTTCTAATTATCACGAACTCTGCAAATAATTCTATCAACTCCTTGCAGGAAAAGCAAAGAATATCATCTGCTTGCTGATCAGCGAGTATCTTGTAAATGTAAGTTTTTTTTTTACCCTGCTGATTTCTTCTTTATCTGACCTGGAGAACTATGGATCATTAAACCAGTAGATCAAACAAAATGCTCCTTTATTTGGTTGCTGCATAGTTAGTTCTCTGCTTACAGTAGTTTTCTGGTTCCCAGAAATATTAGAATTAGATATCCATATCACGTACTTATCCTTTAATTTTACCCAATGAAAACCCTTTGAAAGAAAGACAGAACAAACTCAAGCCTGACTAAAGATGAGACTGTCATAAAAAAAAGCTAATGGCAACTGAGAATACCAGGTCGAATGTCAATTACTGGTTGCACCAATTAAGTCTCTGTATAAAACAATGTACAATTGCTGAAGTATGGGGAAAATGCCTTTCCAGGACCAAACTGCATCTCTTAAGACAGCCAAGAAACTGCAGTCCTGCAAATCTGCTGTTCTCGCATCTTCCACATTTTCCTTTTTCTGTAAGGACACAGGTAGAGAAAAACAGAAGGGCTCCCTGCTCTCAGGTCAAAGTCTGGATGGGCAGTGGCAACTCAAAGAGCAACTTCAGAGACTGCCTTAAGTAGCCACTAAAAGCCAAGGCTGGGGAACATTTAGTCAACTAAGAAACTTCAGGGAATAGAGCTGCCAAACTCTTAAAGCTCTCAACAGAGCACATGCCAACTGAGATTTTTCGAAAACTTATAAAA